GTAATTGCTCATCATCCTCAACCTACATTTCGGTGTCAGGCCACAGGATCTATGCCCGCTTTATAGTTTGAAGGTATAAACAATGTATATATGGCGCACGTTTCTACGAAAATAAATTAATGGCGCTAACCTGGACTTTAATGGCAGAATACGTTTTATTATGCCGTCTATATTGTTGCAACTTTAACGTCTTGCGAAGCAGAGTTCAATTAATATTTTTTTAAATAATATTATTTTTTTATTTTCAAATAAAATAAAAATTAACCTAACAATAAATAATCGACATGCTAAAATGGCGTCTACTCAGCGTTAGTGCTATAGAAACTACTTAGCGGAAACTATAACGCTGATTTTCAGTACACGCCAAATGCATGGGTTTAATAACGGGCTCCAACATAAAAATAAAAACATACACTTATAAAGATTAAAAAAAAACTTTTAACATTTTATTACCAACAGAGCTGTGAGAAAATAAAATTATTATTTTTAATAACACTCAGCCAGTACCAATAACAATTTAATTGCACTGGTCAGTGCTGTTTTACCCTAAGGTTTTACGACGTGTCGACGGTGTGTACAATTATACATTATATTGTTTTTATTTATAAAATTTCGGTTTGCATGTGTTCGTAATTCTTCCCCTCAAAAACGGCCAAACCGATTTTGATGAAATTGGCACCAATAAAATTGGTAAATTGCGGCGACTGGCTGGTGAAGGAAACGATCTGTCTGATATATTTAAAAATAATTATTTCGAAAATAGTAGTAGTGTGAGACTGGCCAGTTGTGAGGCGGGCATGTACCTGTGCTCGGCAGTGGGACGTAAATAAGTGGTAACTTAACTTTTTGTCAAAATGGTTTCCACTATCTAGCCACAGTGGGCCAATAAAGTATATAACAGAATTTATAGGTTCGTGTGTGACCTACGTTTAAGTTTTCGGATATTGTAAAACAAAATACAAACGAAAATGATTCAGCTACGTATTTATCTCTTTTTTATAAGTGTCAAACGGCTACACAGTCTACCAGATTGCTGATGTTGTGGCTCTTAGACATGTACACGTATCTTCGATTAAAAATCAAAATGCAGAGGCGTTGTCATGCCTTAGGGCTAAAATGGAATGCCTCGTTTCCAGTAAAAGGATCTCCGATTCTCTTCACTCACTATACGAAACAGTAGCATTTATTTGTATGATATATACATACGCTGGTATATTGTGAGAGCATGGTGGTTACCCGGTCGAGCTGTTCGTGCTACAATCATAATATAGCAGCAGCGTAATGTATAACTTGTAAAATCTAATAGAAAATTCTTAATTGTTTATAAATATATTAATAATATAGTTTATCGTAATATAGCAAAGCAAAGTGTTAAGTAAAAATTAACGTGTAAACGAGAGCAGTTTCTGCCGACAAACTGATTAATAGCTTGGGAGACTAATATACTGTACGATTTATTTAAAAACATAAATAAATACATTTAAAATATAATTTCGATAAAACATGCTCGTTAGTAACAAAACTTGTTACTCCTTATGCCCATGTTAATTCAAACATGAAATAACTCGTTAAATAAAACACATTTCAACTTTACTTATTTAACTACACTGCCCAAAAGAGAATTTTTAGTTTCAGTGTGAGCAGAACTATTAGTAAACTAACAAACATTTTAAATTTAAATTATGTTAACAAAATACACCACTATTGTTTTTGTAAATTTAGTTTACTGTATGTTTTAATTCAAAATCATGCTTTGATTACCTACAGGTATTACTATGAAATAGCAGTGTTGATATTACAATAAACATATCATAACAAACGTTTTCATTTTTAATAAAAGTTATTGTAATATTGGCTATAAAAAGAGAATATGTATGAATAAGATTCTTTAGCCGTTTCCACAGACACTATCACTTACCACCGAGAGGCCGTATCTTCCATTTTCTACGGGCAGAGAACATCCTTTTGAAAAAAAAAACATGCTGATGTTTGACAAATGAAATTCTAGTTTCTTACGTCGAAAACTAAAGTGTTTTCATTTACCGTTACATCTTATCTAAAGTCCACTGCTTAACATAGGCCTCCCAAAGATTACCTAATCGGTGGGATATTTGCCATTGTTGGCATCAGAATTTTTTATTTTTAGCTGTTATTGAGAAAACGCTTCTGATCATAGATTTTTACGTGGTAGAGCCTTGCTGCAAATATATTAGTAGTATAGTTGTAGCAAGAATGGGTCGACTCAACCGGGGAAGGACCACGCTCTCACAGAATACCAACGTAAAATAGCAGCTTAACATTGCTATATTTCATATGGTGAGTGTAGGGAACCGGAGACCCCTATAACTGGAAACGAGGCATTCCATCGTATCCTCACGAGTGACAATGCATTTGCATTTTGATTCGTAGTCGACGATAAATTTAGACGTCTACTTACCATTAGATGGACTGTTTGATCGTTTGTCATCCTTATCCAATAATAATAAAAAAAATACGTGTGGCACTCGGTGACTGCAGCGGTAAAGCTATTGCATACAATTTTTTATCAACTTATGCAATTATAATTATTTATTTATTTTATTTATGCAGTTAAGTCTTTGATATTAAATAAAGTTACACTTTTTGAGCGTGGTGACCGATAAGAAAACAATTTTTGTTCTCTTATTGAATAAATGAGAAGTTAATATTGTTTAAAATATTTTTAATATCTTACAATACATGTAGGTTATTCAGGAATTTTTATCATTGAGTGAGCAGCTAGTGTACACGCATACGTCTAGTCGCACGCACACAAACACCGTGCCGAAGTCTGCCGAGTGCCGAAGTCTGCCGAACTGAAACGACGTTAGACGATGGACGGCTTTCAACGCCACACCTCCGTGCCCGTCAGAGTGGGGAGCGTGAGGTTTTTTGTCGTTACGGAATTTCTGCCGAATTCAAATTCCGAAATTCGGTCCCCGCGCTCAAGGCCCGCGATAGAAGCTATGCAATAGCTTAAAACATCTCATAGTTAAAGTATTTTCTACTGTCGCCTCTTATGAGATCCACGGGCGACATAGGGTAGTGGATATTCTTATACCACCACTACGCGGTCAAGAGTCTGAAGAGTTTTATTTAATTTATTTTATTTCAACATACAGAAAATGGAAACATCAGTTATATTTAAAGGAATAAAGGCCCCACGAAATATTAGATGAAAGGATCTAAAGTGAATATTGCAAATGAGTTAGACCAGCACTCGACCCGTTAAGCTCCGTTTTTTATTCCTTTTATAGCTATCGGCTATTTGAAAAATTTCTCCCGTCAATCGACCACTTCCCATGATATAAACGTTCTGAAATTTCTCCATTTGCTTTTCTATTTAAAAAAAAACTCACCGACCGTTTGAAATTCGAATACGCCCATGAGTGGTTCTTTGCAAATATAAATTATCGATTGATGCTCTTTCATTCGTTCTTAGTTGGAATTAATGTGGTAACATTATCGGAGCATTATTATTAACATTTTAGAAGCCCTTGGCTCGGTAGGGGTTTATTTTTATATAGAATAGGAGGCAAATGAGCACGTAGCTCATCTTTTGAAGTTGTTGAAGTGAATTCCGCGTCCCATGAAAAATCGCATCTACAAAGGATCAGCAGGTGCATTGATGAATTTTTTTTAAAGAAGTAGGCTCTTATCTGAAATGTCTCTAAGTCTGAGCAGTCCGGACAAATCGCTGGTTATAACAAATTCTGGGTCTATCATACTCAATGTACTTAAATCTTTAAACACACTATTAGGTTTTAGATTTACTGAGTTATGAGAATAAGAAGACAGTTCTTAGGTATGCCTATTTAATGAATACCTACAATTGTAATAATAAGATGGCATGGAATGAATTTAACTGTAACCTTACCTTCATGATTAAAGGCCAAATTACTACAGAGGATTATCACGTTTCCGAGCAATAAAAAACCACATTTTGCTGTACTGGAAAAACGATTCTAAAAACATTTTTATGGGATCAAATTCGATTGAAGTCATGTCTAGGGAATTGAGAGATTAATGTCGCTAGCAGTGTGCCTGAATTGTCTCTATCGATATCCTACAAACCAAAGTAAACATGTTACTGGTAAATATTAAACTAATGTATTTCATTACTGAATAAATACATATTTTTAAAACTAACTATTTAACTAAATAAAAATGTATCAACAGTATATAAAAACAAATACTATAAAAAAATAGAATTCTTTAAAATTTGAAATAGAGTAGGAAAGATGTTTAAAATTTTTAATTGGGTTTATAAGAAATGTGTGCATTATTTAATAAATTATATGTTGTCCGCCTTTAAATTATCATCTTAAATAAAGATAAAAAGAATTAAAATTAATTAGGAAATTATACTCGGTTTCTCGGGATATTATGAGCTTGGAATATTATTTTTATAATAAATGTACCTTTAATAACTTAAAGTAATAATGAAAAATTATTGTTATTCTTAATTGTATTTTTTCAAATAATTAAAAAAAGATCTTTGCTCGATTCATCAATGCGACGTGTGAAAAGACGAGTTGATAATATAAGGCATAAAAGTAATATTTTTTTTCTGATTTACTATAACGTTCTTTTTATGATCTTTATATTTTTGGCACCTATTACATTATTTCCATACGTCCTAGACTGTCGTCCCTGACTGGAAGAGAATGTCAAAAAACATTAAGTACGCCCTTTGTAATCATTTTATATAGGTGTATCTACAATAAAGTGTAAATAAATAAAAACATAAATAAATAACCTTGAAGTAATATTACGTAGTACATAATAGCTCAGTGATAAATAATTATATTATATTATTACCTAGTAACACAGAGGTGTACCTCGTAATAATATTAAGTTAATTAATTAGGCAAAAAATGTTAATATGTTGCTACATTATTTTTAACTTATTTCTTGGTTGGTTTATACTATTACACGACTAGATTAAATAAATCCATACTTAACTGAGATCTGAGTTTTACCTTGTTATCCTTCTGCCACGAGCAGACACCCTTCTTATCGGAAATGCGGCACTTCAGCAGTGCATCCTCGCCCGGATTCACCTCCGTGTACGTCGGCAGCTCCACAAACCGTTGCACTCCATCTGGAATAAGTTGAAAATTAACGTCTGTATTGGACTAACGTCGTCATTTCACATCCATCAATTATCTAACTTTCATTTTATCATTAACTAATTTCTGTTGTAGTGAAAACGTATTTCGCAAACACTCTGTACTCTCGGAGTACTCTCTATTCCCTCACTTTCATAGTCCCGATGGCACGACAAGTAGGTACAACCAGAAAGATAACAGACACAGGACCAACGGCTTTACGTACTTTCCGAGACACAGGGGTGAACAACCCCTAACTTCTAGAATCAGGACTACCACTGAGAATTTCTCGACAGAAAAACCCAATATCTGATTATGACTGGACCCGGGATTTGAAGCTAGGATCACATGATCAGCGCTCAAACAGCTGTCAAGCGGATATGCAAACGGAGTGTTAATCACGCAGTATTGCAATCGAGTAGCGAGTAGAGTGAACAGAGTCCTAATTCTAAAATAAAATTTTTGTTGTAAATATTTTGCTGACAAAGTAAAAATATCAATAGTATTTTTATTTCCGGGATAAAAACACGCATTTCTAAGAGGGCTTAAGTATAGGGAAAAGACCGCCGCATTGCGCCAATACACGTCCGTCAAGAAATGGATTTTTTAATAGAATACGGTTGAGACACGAGCTCACAGTCCACCTGACGCTAAGTGCAAACTGCAGACGCCACTCCTGAGGACTAAGAACTCTGATGTATATCTGAAGATACTCTGATGTATATAGACTTGAATGTGGGGTGAGGCAAGGTGGTCTTACATCTCCTAGGCTCTTCAATATGTACATTAATGGCCTGATCGACGAGCTGAGCGGAACAAATGTGGGATGTCATATCGATGGTGTATGTATTAATAACATAAGCTACGCAGACGACATGGTGCTGCTCAGCCCTTCGATTGGTGCCATGCAAAAACTATTAAAAATATGTGAAGCATATGCAGTGTCCCATGGACTCCGATACAATGTGAAAAAGAGTGAGTTCATGGTGTTCAAGGCAGGAGTCAAATCCCGACCAAGTGCGACTACCTTCACACTCAACAACTCACCTCTAAAGCGTGTCTCACATTTTAAGTATCTGGGTCACTGGGTCACTGAGAATCTGCGTGATGGTATGGATACCGAGCGGGAACGCAGGGCGCTGTCCATCCGATGTAACATGGTGGCCCGAAGGTTTGATCATTGCAGTAGGCAGGTAAAGATTACGATTTTCAAAGCCTACTGCCAGTCTTTTTACACGGGCAACTTATGGGTTAACTATACGCAGCGGGTGTACAGCGTTGCGTGTCCAGTATAATAATGGGTTTAGGATGCTGATGGGGCTGACTCGCTTTTGCAGTGCGTCAGGAATGTTCACTGAAATGCACACTGATGGTTTCCACGCCATTATTAGAAAGCGTGTTGCATCGATGCTGAAGCGTTTGCGGGGCGGCTCCAATAGCATTCTTAACATAATGGCAGATAATGGACTCGCCGCTGCTTGAGCACTGGATACGGCTCCATGCCAAGGTATAAAACGCCGGTGCCCTCTTAGCGGATATCTCAAAATCTTAATTTATATCTGTGTTTATTATATTTATTTAAATTAAATTGATTACTAACACTAAAATTCGTAATAGTTATATTTCATTTCACTTCAATTTTACTAACATATTATATCTTTCTGTAGCCTAACATATCTTACTAAAAAAATCCTCTCATAAGGCTTCTCTAGCACTAACAATACGAAACCTTCTTACTAACATATCATAGATAGCTTCCACACAAAGCTATCTTACGCTCGTATTATGTGAAAACGTTCTCCGGTCGAGCCGACCCATTTGTGATACAATCAGAATATAGCAGTGATTCGGCTCTTGTTTGCAAAATATTTTAACTTAATTTCCTTCATTGTCAAGTACATGGTAAATCTGCATATACATTTGATATTAATAATATCAATGACGTAGTCGGAGCTCAGCTTGAACTGTTTGCATGCATACTATGAAATTGAATTGCAAACGCTTATCCCCGCACTTATCCAAAACACTACAATTTAAAAGGAATTGTAAACTACAGTAAAATGAATTGAATTTTTATAATTTCTATGGGAGCATTAAACTTTCCACATTCTTAAAATTTACATTTCACTGCAATGTTCTAAAAATAATTGTACAAAAGGTTGTGGCACAAAGCAGAAAAAAGATAAAAAAAATAATATTAAAATTATTTTAATTATATTGCGCCAGTGTCATCATTATTTGCGCCGTGTGATGGCAGCGTTAAAGCATAAGCTACATAAATTTCTCATCACGACAATTAACCAAATAAATATGAAATTAAACCAACCAAATGTGAAATTAAATCGACCTAAAATGAAAAGCGAAACATTTCCGGCGATACATTTCACTAGTATCCTAGTATAAATTTCAATTAAGATGCAGTGGCTGATATTCAGAGACAATTTCGAGTTTAAGCTCAAACCTCACAATGTCAAAATTTGAGTCCAGATCATAATTTTATTACAGTACAAACGGTGACGGTTGAAAAAGGTTTTTCATCAGGAATAATTAGAAAAATATACTTTTTATTTTCTGGGTATTATATAAAATGATTTATAAAACGTAGGTATGATATTTTTATTATAAGAATTTGATCATTAAAAAATGAAAATTCGCGTCTAGAACACTTATTTTTGACACAACTGCCTTGATTACTAACTTATGTGTGCGTTGTCTTGTAATTGATTTTTCGTCGGTCGTCGCGTATTATCTCTATCTTATACTGTTGCAGTGATGTCGGTTACATGCAGGTAGGCGATGGATAATTTGGACAGTATTCTGTGGCAATCTATGGGGTGATATATATTCAGCAGTAAACTTGTGAAATGATAATGATAAGGATGACAATGATTTATAATAAATGTAAGGTGCAATAAAATAATTTTTATAGGATAGGGGTGACAAACGAGCACAATTTCTACCTGATGGTAAGTGGATCCTGTGGCCGATAGACATCTACATTTAATCTCGATTAAGAATCAAAATGCAGATACGTTGTCCCTGATGACTAAGATGGAATGCCTCAATTTCAGTAAAACGGGTCTCTGGTTCTCTACACTCACCATACGAAACACGGCAGCATCAAGCTGCGATTTTACGCTGGTATGTGACAGCGTGGTACTTCCCCGGTCGAGGTGGCCCATTCGTGCTGTGACCATAATATAGGTGCAGCATGGCTCTACCACGTATCTAGGCCAATCTAAACCACTACATTCCAGAGACTAAGAGTCACCTGTACACGAGTTATTGTTATGCACACCGCCATACCGCAGTCTCACCGACTCTTACTCATTCTTACTTTTCTTATAACAATGAAATGACTAATCGATAGATAACCTTTTAAAGGCTCAAAATTGTTCAGGTGGTGGTTTGATTAACCCGACTTGCATTAATGCTCGAAACACTTTTAATTCCAGTCGACTGTATTTTTTTATAACCGCCTCGTCCCGCCTGCGTATGCTGTCACGTTATTTAGTTTTTTTCTGTAATGATAATCTCAGTAACATACCGAAGTCAAGAATTTTATGTATAAACCCCGTGCCTCGGAAAACACGTAAAGATATTGATCTCTCTCCGATCGTATCGGATTGCTATCTCATCGAGCTACGAGAGTGAGGGAATAGAGAGTGCACCAGTGCTTGCGCATACACTTGGGCACTATAATCCTTTCCTTTGCAGATGGTTACTCTCCGTTGTGACTTACCGTCGTGACCGAAGATCGATCTGAAGCACATTATTTTATAATTTTTTGATGTGTTACGCGATACCTTCACCGATTGTAAAAAGATACTATGTTTTTTTTTCATTGAATGGAGAGTGATCCCATCAAAATTGAAAGTAAAATCTAACCCTGAGGGTTACGAAATACTGGAGGACAATTTTAATGTAATAACATAGACAATGTTATTGTTTAGTTTACTCAAAAGGGTCAAATAATCCAACTTTTTTAAAATGAAGTATGTGTATAGCGCTTTCAAATATAAAATAAGGCTAAAGCTGTTAAGACAAAACGTATCGAAGATTACAAGCTTTTCACAGATTTCAGAAGCTTATAAATTACGTGGAAATCATTTTTCCCTTATTGTTATTTTAAGTTGGTTTTAAATTTTTTAAGTGCGATTTTTCAATCGTCAAATAAATTATAATTTGACTAGATATAAAAGGTAAAAAATTAAATTATTTTATACTACAACTGTAATTTTTAATTCGTTTGTGTTGTATTTTATCATAAGAATAAATTATAACTGAGGATTGAAAATTCTTCCCTAGTTTTATTAATCATTTGCACTGTCATCTACAACCACAATATATCGTCGTCTCTTCGTTCCAAGATTTACCTACTGAAGTTGAATACTTAATTTACGAGTAATTTCAAATATTCAGGAAGATTTATTCGCAGTATCAGCGACAATATTTTACATACATTTAGTTTATGGAACATTTATATTCATGCGGCGAGTCCACGTACGTATCGCCAAGTGAAGTGAGAAATGAAAGCAACAATTTTCTTTTGCGATTTACACAAGTATTCACTAACATTCACGACACGGCCTGTGCAGATCTTCTTACCGTTACAATCTCTATAAGGTGAACTTTCCATTCCACCTTGTGAACGTATTTGAAGTTTATGTTCAAATATGAAAAAAATCTATTTAAAACGACAGCCTATATTCGTTCCACTGCGCACAGTTTACGTTTTAATGGGCTGTCGTATCCATCCATCTATTACAGCTCTTCTAAAATACACTGGTCTATACACACCTGTCCTCATATATCGCCTCATAAGGGGGGTATTTATCATAGTTACAACGCTTTTTATTTTTATCAGTTTATTTTTTATTTTATTTTTCCCGACGGTATGACTGGTCCCTTGGGAGGGAGGTAAAGCCCTAGTGTGGGATGCTACTTGCGTTGACACTTTGGCGGCCTCTCTTCTCAAGGGTACCTCTTTTAAAACTGGGGAGGGAGGCATTAGAGGTAGCTGAATTAAATAAATGGCACTAATATGAGTCTTTGAGAAATGATTACATATTTGTGCCATTTGATGTAGCGACTATCGGTCCGTGGGGTCCACGTGCAGTGAAGTTCCTAAAGGAAGTGTATTCGCTGCTGGTGATAAGAGACCTGGTTCTTTTGTCGCGCAAAGGCTAAGTATAGCTATTCGGCGAGAAAACGCAGCCAGTGTTCTTGGCACTATACCACGGGGAGCAGAACTTTATGACAATTTATATTTTTAGTTTTAGTTTTTCTATATTACAGTTTTTTATATTATGTGTATTGAATATAAATTGTAGTTATTGTAACATAAATCGTTTTAAATATAGTTATTTGCTCTTATGTTGTTATCAGGAAGATGCTGCTGTCTGTATTCCGTTTCGTCGGCCGCTGTCGCCTCTAACAACCCGGCATAACATTATTCTGTTTAACCTGTGACATAGGGTACATAATTATCTTACACCACCACTACACGGTAATAGTTTAGTGATATAAAAGTTAAAAGTATAAAGTTACAGCATATATACGTCCCACTGTTGGGCACAGGCCTCCGCTCATTTCTGAGAGGGTTTTGGGCCAAGGAATTGTTCGCCGCGCTGCCCCAATGCGTGTTGGCGAACTTCACATGTCTTCGAATTATTTAATAAAGATTATATAACTGAACTATTGCCGTCTAGTAAAGTAAAATAAAGAAAAGCACACGTGATCTACCTGGTGGTAATACACAAACATCGATTAAGAATGATAACGCAGATCCGTTGTTGCCCCTGAAGTATAGGATGAAGTATTTTGATACCAGTAGACGGAACCCGGTTTTCTACATTCACCATACGGAGCACAGTAGTCTCTTGCTACTATTTTATGCTGGTATTTTGATACCAGTAGACAGAACCCGGTTTTCTACATTCACCATACGGAGCACAGTAGTCTCTTGCTACTATTTTATGCTGGTATTTTGATACCAGTAGACAGAACCCGGTTTTCTACATTCACCATACGGAGCACAGTAGTCTCTTGCTACTATTTTATGCTGGTATTTTGATACCAGTAGACAGAACCCGGTTTTCTACATTCACCATACGGAGCACAGTAGTCTCTTACTATTTTATACTGGTATTTTGATACCAGTAGACAGAACCCGGTTTTCTACATTCACCATACGGAGCACAGTAGTCTCTTGCTACTATTTTATGCTGGTATTTTGATACCAGTAGACAGAACCCGGTTTTCTACATTCACCATACGGAGCACAGTAGTCTCTTGCTACTATTTTATGCTGGTATTTTGATACCAGTAGACAGAACCCGGTTTTCTACATTCACCATACGGAGCACAGTAGTCTCTTGCTACTATTTTATGCTGGTATTTTGATACCAGTAGACAGAACCCGGTTTTCTACATTCACCATACGGAGCACAGTAGTCTCTTGCTACTATTTTATGCTGGTATTTTGATACCAGTAGACAGAACCCGGTTTTCTACATTCACCATACGGAGCACAGTAGTCTCTTGCTACTATTTTATGCTGGTATTTTGATACCAGTAGACAGAACCCGGTTTTCTACATTCACCATACGGAGCACAGTAGTCTCTTGCTACTATTTTATACTGGTATTTTGATACCAGTAGACAGAACCCGGTTTTCTACATTCACCATACGGAGCACAGTAGTCTCTTGCTACTATTTTATGCTGGTATTTTGATACCAGTAGACAGAACCCGGTTTTCTACATTCACCATACGGAGCACAGTAGTCTCTTGCTACTATTTTATGCTGGTATTTTGATACCAGTAGACAGAACCCGGTTTTCTACATTCACCATACGGAGCACAGTAGTCTCTTGCTACTATTTTATGCTGGTATTTTGATACCAGTAGACAGAACCCGGTTTTCTACATTCACCATACGGAGCACAGTAGTCTCTTGCTACTATTTTATGCTGGTATTTTGATACCAGTAGACAGAACCCGGTTTTCTACATTCACCATACGGAGCACAGTAGTCTCTTGCTACTATTTTATGCTGGTATTTTGATACCAGTAGACAGAACCCGGTTTTCTACATTCACCATACGGAGCACAGTAGTCTCTTGCTACTATTTTATGCTGGTATTTTGATACCAGTAGACAGAACCCGGTTTTCTACATTCACCATACGGAGCACAGTAGTCTCTTGCTACTATTTTATGCTGGTATTTTGATACCAGTAGACAGAACCCGGTTTTCTACATTCACCATACGGAGCACAGTAGTCTCTTGCTACTATTTTATGCTGGTATTTTGATACCAGTAGACAGAACCCGGTTTTCTACATTCACCATACGGAGCACAGTAGTCTCTTGCTACTATTTTATGCTGGTATTTTGATACCAGTAGACAGAACCCGGTTTTCTACATTCACCATACGGAGCACAGTAGTCTCTTGCTACTATTTTATGCTGGTATTTTGATACCAGTAGACAGAACCCGGTTTTCTACATTCACCATACGGAGCACAGTAGTCTCTTGCTACTATTTTATGCTGGTATTTTGATACCAGTAGACAGAACCCGGTTTTCTACATTCACCATACGGAGCACAGTAGTCTCTTGCTACTATTTTATGCTGGTATTTTGATACCAGTAGACAGAACCCGGTTTTCTACATTCACCATACGGAGCACAGTAGTCTCTTGCTACTATTTTATGCTGGTATTTTGATACCAGTAGACAGAACCCGGTTTTCTACATTCACCATACAGAGCATAGTAGTCTCTTGCTACTATTTTATGCTGGTATTTCGTGAGATAGCGTGGTCTTTTCTAAAATTAGTCGAGTCAGTACCCACAGGACGATATGGGGTTAAGAATATTGTTACTCCACTACTACACGATTATACATGGTGTTGTTATATGTATTTATTACATATATTGTTGGCTCAGTTAATTTCATCGACTACCTTCATTATGTATTAAGTAGTTAAGCTTGCATAATGAATAAGTTGAAATAAAAAAAACCTCAATTTAAAGAAGAATATAAATTTGCTGTTCGGGGTGAAACACGTTACCGTTTTACCTAGCTCGTACAGTTAATCCAACAACGGCGTAATTATAGCTCAATCAATCACCCTTTCATTACTACGCTTGAACAATACTTGAGCTAAACTCGAATTATTCTTAAATGGTGTTTAATAAAACAATCTATAAAAATAAATAAGATTTAAATGTCGGTTTGTAATGTCAAAATAACGGCGTTTTACTAATATACATTTTATGGAGTGTAGAGGTAAGTACAGACAGTGTATTAAAAAATGTACGTAGAAAACCGTTAAATAAGGGTGGCGCCACTTTAGCTACGCGGTAAGTTTTAAAGAACGCCCCGAAAACTATTAGTGGTATAGACGATTTTTTCGAGGCTATATTTACTAAATAAAATTATTTTAGATTTTAGAGCTACTGAGCAGTTTTGCAGCACACTTCACACCGTCTACAGCTGCTAAGTTCATTTCATGTAGCTGTTTCCTGTAGCTACTCCAGCGCTGTTGTGGAGAGTTTTTGAACTGTTATTTTTTGCTTATAGATGGACACTTTTTCAACTATTCTCCTATAAGAGATTGTTCTCCTTATACACTCCATAATACATTTATTTGTATTCTAAAATTACGTTGTAGAGCCATGTCACAGCCATATTAGTAGTATAGTAGCAGCAAGAATGGGACGGCTCGACCGAGAAAGAACACTCCCACAGAAAACCTGCGTAAAATAGCAGCTTAATGCTGAGGTGTTTCGTATGGTGAATGTAAAGAACCGGAGACCCTTTTTACTGGAAATGAGGCATTCCATCCTAGTCCTAACGGGTGACAAATAATCTGCGTTTTAATTCGTAATCGAGGGTAGATGTAAAAGTCTGTGAGCAACAGCAACCACTTACGTTAAGGCGGACTGTGTAGTAGTTTGTATCCTTTATCCCATATATACGGTACTCATAACAAAAAAAAACAATTTTTAAAATTGTTGTCTGTCTGTCAGTCTCTTTGTTTCGACTAGATTCCGAAAAGGCTTAACCGATTTTGACGTGATTTTCACAATTTTCACTAGTAGTTCACTGATATTATAAGGACTAACTTAGACTACTTTTATATTTAAATATTAAAACCCATAAAAAACCTACCTTAATAAATTCTACGCGGACAAGGTCGCGGGAAACAGCTAGCTAATAATAAATGTGCGATGGAATAATCAAACATCTAGAACCCTCACAACCTATTCCGTAAATTACCTACTTATTCTATCTCTAGACTAGCATCATACGTAAAGTATGGCATGTCGTAAAATTATTATTCCCCTATTTATTTCAGTCCACGAGAGTTTCTGGCAACTTATTTCCAAAAAGATATTAATAACTAAATAGATTTTTACTTTGTCCCTTGAACAAGTAAGACTCTCTCTTAAGAGTTCTCACTTGTTTATAATAATGATGGGAGGCAGTAACCACGAACACGAATGGTTGAGGAATAAGATGCAAAACCACACAAATAGGCAAGAAACTGACTACAGAAATATTTATCAAAGTGGTACCTACCACCGTAATCCTATTACCTAGTATAATTATTTAAAATATGAACATT